CTGACCCGCCCCGGCCCTGAGCCCCGGCCGGCCGGTGAGGCGGGCTACCCCTGCGGTGAAGCTTTCGCCCTGCTTTCTCCTGGCGATTCCTTGGCTGGGAAGCGCAGCCCCAGCTGTTGCCTGTCCCGGGCCCTGCTCCTCTCGCCTCCCCTCCGCATCTTGGCCCCAACCCCGACTGGTCTCATGGGGCTCGCGGGCTGGACGCCGCAGCTGCCTGGGCCACACCAGCCTCTGGACCCAGTGCTCAGGAACCCTCGGGCCCAGCAGGGGCAGCAGCTGTCCTGGGCCGAGAGGGGCCCAAAGCCCAGGTGGGAGTGCCCTGCAGGGGACTTCTCTCCTTGAAGTATTTCCACGTTTCTTCCAGCTTTACCCGTGTGCCACCCACCCAGACAAGGCTGGCATGGACTCACCCCCCAGAGGGCTTTCCAGTGTCCCCGCAGTGGACACCCCCCAAGCTACGCCCCGCCCCTCTCCAGCCCTCCTCCCCTAGGACCTGCATAATGATTCTGGGGGTCTACAGTCCTATGCAGGTGGTCAAGGCAGGTGGGGTCCCCCAGGCCGCGCGCTATCAGCTCAGTCCACCCCTGCGTGGCTCTGGCGTGTGGCTTACTCACCCACTCACCTGTCCGGGTTCTTTCCAGCACCTTGTTAGGGACGCAGCTGCTGTGGACCTCCCGCAGGACCCTGCCTTCTGTGGATGTCTGCTGGCGTCCCTCGAGGACACGGCGCGGGAGTGCGGTGCTGGTGGGGGGCACAGCGTGTGAGCGGGTTTCCAAAAGCACTGCACCGGCTCCCTTTCCACCAACCACAGTGTGAGTTCCGGTTCCGCCACAGCTCCCGGCACGTGACAGGTGCGTCTGCCTCTTACTTCCAGTCACCTGGGGGGTGTGAACCGGCTGTCACCCTGGCTTTGACCTGCGTCCCCTCACCGAAGGTGCCAAGCATCTCCCACACATTCTCCCTCCTCCCTCCTCTCTCACGCCCGGTGGGTTGCTAGTCTGTCCTTTAGTGGCTTGTAGCTCTTCCGTGTGTGAGCGGCTAGGCCTTTGACCATCTCCTCCCAGCGCGTACCCTCTTGGTATGGTCCTCAGTCTTCGCGAGGTCCACCTCACCAGTCTTTCCTTTCATTGCAAATCATGTCTGCTTTGGTTGTTGTTGTTTTGAGAGAGATTTCTTTTTTCTTTTTTTGACAGGTTTTTGCTATAGGGTGCATGTGCTCACCAGACAGAGAGGGACAGAGAGACAGAAAGCGAGAAATCATCCCCCAGGGGAGATGGCCACGCCGCAATCCCTTCTCCTCTATTCTCCTCTTGGGATCTTGGGCACACACGCACACGCGCCTGGTGTGAGTTTAAGCCACCGGGTCCGGGACTCGAACTGAGGTCGACTACATGGGAGTCCAGCAACATAGCCATTACACCAACTACTGGTCCCAATTTCTGTTCCTTTTTAAGAAATCTTTTCCTACCTATGGTCACGGGCTTATTCTCCTGTTTTCTTCCGAAGCTTGCTTGACTGACCAATGTAACCTTTTACTTTAATCCGCTATCTCCCTTGAATTCATTTCTGTGTGGTGTGAGGTAGGGGTGGAGGCTCATTTCTGTGTGGTGTGAGGTAGGGGTGGAGACTCATTCTCCCTGTGTGATCAGTGGCAATAACAAAGGCCTTTTCCTCTTCTTCTCACATATTTTTCTATCAAGACCTTTAAGCCCAGCAGCCATTACTTTTACAACCTATTTTTTTCTTTTTTGCCTTTTTTAAAAACAATTATTATTATTATTATTATTTTTCACATGAATTTTGCCAAAGACAGAGAGAGAAAGAGAGGGAGAGTGAGAAAGCAAGCCACCAGGTCCAGGACTCGAACCATGGTCAGCCATGTGGGAATTCCAGCACCCTAACCACCACGCCACCTTCTGGCCCTTTTTTGCCTTTTTTACAAATGAAGTCAAAGGAGGAAAAGGACTTTGAGGTACACAGGACCTTCTCTGCCCATTCCCAGAGGAGAAAGTGAGGCCCAGGAAGTGCCCTCTGCCTGCAGGGGACTGCCCTGCTGTGTTCTGGTGTCACCCTGAGGCCTTGGCCTTGCACTGAGGCCTGGGTGGAGGACCTGCTGGGCATGTACCGCGGATACCTGGATCAGGTGGCGCCCAGAGCGTCCGAGGGAGAAGGAGCCCCAGCCCCCTGCAGCCTTGCCCTGTGTCCCAGTGGCTACGTGAGAGTGGGAGAGGGTGCCCAACCTCCATCCTAACGGGCGTCATCTCCCACAGGACGAGCTGGTTACCCACAGGTGCCTCTGGCCTTCCCAAGCGGTGGCAGGCCTCAGCCCTGAGCACAGCGTGAAGGCAGGCATGGAGCAGAGCCCGGAATGCACAAGTAGGTTCCCCGTGCTGGCCGCCACGGGCAGCACGGAGCCCAAGCCGCCTGGTGGTCCCAACATGTCCAACAGCTCCTGGGCCAGCCCAGGAGAGCCCAGCTCCCTGGAGGACCTGGTGGCCACAGGTGCCATCGGGGCAGTGCTGTCAGCCATGGGCGTGGTGGGCGTGGCAGGCAACGCGTACACACTGGCGGTGGTGTGCTGCTCCCTGCGTGCTGCAGCCTCCCTGCGTGTCTACCTGGTCAGCCTGGCGCTGGCCGACCTGCTCTACCTGCTCGGCATCCCCTTCATCGTGGCCACCTACGTAGCTAAGGAGTGGCGCTTTGGTGACGCGGGCTGCCGTGTGCTCTTCAGCCTGGACTTCCTGACCATGCATGCCAGCGTCTTCACTCTGACAGCCATGAGCAGCGAGCGCTGTGCAGCTGTGCTGAGGCCGCTGCACACGGCGCGACGTCCCAAGGGCTACCGCAAGCTGCTGGCACTGGGCATCTGGCTGCTGGCACTGCTGCTCACGCTGCCCATGACGCTGGCCATCCGACTGGCACGCCGCGGCCCCAAGCACCTGTGTCTGCCAGCCTGGGGCCCGCGTGCCCACCGCGCCTACCTGACACTGCTCTTCGGGACCAGCGTGGTGGGCCCTGGGCTGGCCATCGGGCTGCTGTATGCACGCCTGGCCCGGGCCAACTGGAGGTCTCAGAGGGGCCCCCTCCGGCGGCCACACCGGCTGGCCCGGCCCCGAGTGCTGTGCCTCACCCTGAGCACAGTGCTGCTCTTCTGGGCCTGCTTCCTCCTCCGGTTTGGGGCAGCGGCGGGCCCAGTCCCGCCAGGCCCCGCCAGCGCCCCGCACGGCGCGTGTGGCCACCTACCTGACCACCTGCCTCACCTACGGCAACAGCTGCCTCAACCCCTTCCTCTACACGCTGCTCACCAGGAACTACAGGGACTATCTCCGCGGCCGCAGGCACCGGCGGCCCGGCAAGGGCTGTGCGTCCCGCCTCCCACAGTGCCAGAACCACCTCCCACAGGGCTCCTGCTTGCTGTCCTCGAGCAGCCAGCCGGCCACTGAGCCTGTCATGCTGTCACCAGGGCCCCTGTGCGAGCCCCTTCCCAGGAGCCCCAGTCCCCTCTGAGCCAGCCGGCCCTTCCTCGGTGCTCTTCCAGAGTTCCCCGGGCTGGGGACTCCACTACCTGTGGGAGACCCTCCCCTCTCTGCCCCTCCCCCAGCCTCTGCAGCCATTAACACTCAGACAATAAACCTGAGCCCAGTGGTCCGAGTCCTGCCTTGGCACTGGTGTGGCGTGGGGAAGGCCCCCAGGCCACCCCAGGCTTGGGGAAGAGCCTGCCTGACGCCCCACTCCTGTGCTCCTGCCTAGGCCTCTGCTCATCTGGCACAGGCAGGGGCAGGGGAGTACCTGGGACTGCAGGGGGGGGGGGGGGGGGGGGGGGGGGGGGGACGCAGCACAGGGTTGAAGCCTCACTGCGGAGGCGAGGCTAAGGCCTCACAACCACCAGCCAGCACCCACACGGGCCGGGCGGAGACCCAGTCCACTCAGCAGTGCTCTCAGGCTCCTTGGCCTCCTACCTCCCAGATTAATGGGTCCTGCCCTGCTCTGCCCCTCATCTCCATGGTGACCACCCAGCCTCTACCAGCTGGCCTCCTCTGCCTGACCACCTGCTCGCACCACCTGGCCGGGCTGGGGCCACTGCTCTGGTTCCCTTCCAACTCCTGCTGGCCCGTTGGGGTTCCCTCTGAACACTGGGGTGGGGAAATGCCTGTCTGCCCCCCCGGGAGTCAGGGCTCCACAGGCTGGGGTGGTCACCCCTGGGTGTGGCTGCCCCAGGGCCTCCAGAAAGGCGAGATGGTGGACGCCAGCTTCCACAGAGCGTGCAGGTGGCAGGGCAGCCGTGTCCGGAACACGCCAGGTGCCTCAAATGCACAGCTTACACGATCAGTGGAGATCTGTTGAGTCATTCACAGTAAGAGAAAAAAGGGGGCCAGCAGGTGGCATACTGGTTACATCACCGGACTCCCACGTGGATGGCTACAGTTAGAGTCCCAGACCCACTGGCTTAAAAATCACACCAGGCATGTGCATACGTGCCCAAAATCCCAGGAGAAGAACAGAGAAGAGATTGTGGCGTGGCCACCCCGCACCCCCGTGGGTGCTTTCTCACTTTCCCTTTCACTGTCTCTCTCTCCAGCGAGCACACGTGCTTTATGGCAAAAACTTCTTTAAAAAAAAAAAAATCAGAAAACAAAAAGGAAACCGACTTGCTAGTAAATTCACTCAAGGAACATAATTCCCAGTGGTTCTAGGGAGGCAGCAGCTGGATAGGGCGCAGAGTCGCTGCCGAGGTCCCGGAGCCGCCCCCACATGGGTCCCATGTCCACGCTCTGCAGCCTTTGCTGCACAAGGGGACACACTGCTCTTTGTCAGGCCGCTTGGCCATGGTAGTCCACGTTAGCGACAATGCTGCTCAGCACACGGGAGGCCCAGGTTCAACTCCTGGCCCGCCCTAGAGCTGGACACAGCAGCACACTGCTCGCGAGGCTAAGGTGGGAGGGGCGAGATACCGTGAGACCCTCACCTACAGACGAGGGCGCAGCGGTGACGTGCTGCTCAGGAGTCGCCAGGTCCCATCTAGTGCCCCTAGTTCAAACTCCAGGCCCGGTTCGAGTCCTGGACCCGGTGGCTTAAACTCACACCAGGCATGTGTGTGTGTGCCCAAGATCTTGAGAGGAGATGGAGGAGAAGGGATTGCAGCATGGCCATTCCCTTGGGGGGTGATTTCTCACTTTCTGTCTCTCTGTCTTTCTGGTGAGCGCACGTGCCCTACAGCAAAAACCTCTCAAAACCAAAACAAAACAAAACAAAACAAAATCAGATATGGATGGGAAGTGGCAGATGGCATAATGGTTGCGTTGGTGGATTGACACAGCTGACTGCGGTGTGAGTCCCAGACCCAGAGGTTTGAATCTCACGCCAGGTGTGTGTGTGTGTGCGGTGCTCAAGAGCCTGGGAAGAGAGTGAAGAAGGAGTTGGGGCTTGGCCATACAGTGCTCCCTATGGCAGAATTCTCTAAATTAAAAATAATGGTTATTATTATTATTTTAAAATTTGCTATAGGGCGGGGACCAGCAGGTGGCATGATGGTTAAGGCGCTGGACACTCCCACATGGCTGACCACAGTTCGGGTCTCAGGCCTGGTGGCTTGCTTTCTCTCTTTCCTTCTCTCTCTGATCAAATTAAAATGAATGAATGAATAAATAAAATTAAATAAGTAATTCTTTTAAAACACTTTTGCTATAAGGCACATGCACTCATCAGAGAGAAGGGGAACGTGAGAAAGCAAGCTGCCTGGTCTGGGACTTGAGCCTGGTCAGCCATGCGAGAGTCCGGCATCTTAACTACATGCCACCTGTTGCCTCATCTAAAATGTATTTTTTAAAAATCAGACGTGGATAAAGATTTATGTACACAGGCTCATTTCTGCATTCCTCGAAAGCCCACCAAAGTGTGGACGGCCCCTAGCTGTATGCAGAGCGAGATGCACCAGGGGCAAGTGGTGCTTTCGGAGCCCCGAGGCAGTGCCGCTCTACCAGGCCACACGCCGGCTGAGGCCAAGGCAAGGGCGCTGAGGGGAACCGCCCATGAGCGTCTACCACAGTCTCGAGCTTTATTTAAAACAATGCTTTAGTGTGTGCGAGGCGATTCTGCAGGTGTGAAAACATGTCTGGGTGTGTGTGTGCGTGCACGTACGTGTAACAGTTGACAGAGACGCTTACAAACACCATGACGTCAGCTCTTGGCGGAGCCTTCGGGCTCTATTTTATGCTTTGGGCCTTTCTCAGGTCCCTCTCCACGTGTGCACAGCCTTCAGACCGGACTGGCGGTGAAATGTGGTGTGAGGCTGGTGAGTGCTGAGTGTTCCAGGACAAGACCTTGTGCCCCTCGAGGTCCCCCACCCTTGCACACAGCACAAAGGCCCTTCTTCCCCAGGACCCGCCTCCCTTACTCAGGCCTGGCCAAGGCCCCAGCCCCATGCACGGGGGTGCCCAGGCTCCAGTAGGCCATGTGGCTGACCATGGCTGTGTGCGTCCAGGGACAAGGCCTGCTCAGGCAGGGGGTATCGGCACCTCCACTGAAGTAAGGCCTGGTCTTGGTCCTCGCTGACACCACCATGGGGCAGGGAGCACTGGCACCGTGGCTCTGCGTACCCGACGGCCTCTGCCAGCCCTGCCCACGGTCTGCAGCGCCTCTGGCCCTGATGGTCTATCCCGCCAGGAGTGGCTGTGCCCGTCATCCGTGGCTGTCACTGAGCAGTGTGGGTGTGCCCGTCTGTCACATCCCGTGGTCTGGGGCAGTCACGAATGATGCAGACACTGGCCCTGGCTCCACCTCCCTGGGTAGGCCCCGGGGTAGGGCTGCTGGTGGGTGGGTGTGATCGAGTGGAGACTGTCACTGTCTCAAACTGGCTGTGCTGGAAATGTCACACAGGATGCCAAGTTCTGGGTCGATTTAAGGGGGCACCTTTTTTTTTGTCTTAGCTAGAGGGCACGTGTGCTCACCAGAGAGAGACAAAAAGTGAGAGAGAAGCACCCCAATGGGGGATGGTCACACAATCCCTTCTTCTCTCTATAGTGTCAGGACTGGAGGCACACAGAGGTGTCTCCTGTGGGTTTTCAAGCTGCCAGGTCTAGGATTTGAACCTTGCAGGTGGCCATGTTAGATGTGCTTCCTTAACTGCAAAGAGGCTCACCCAAAGCTCCCCGTACCCTGCCTTCCCGGGAGCAGCGTGTCAGGGCAGAGCGCACCCACAGGGCCGGGTGAGCAGTGGGGTGGGCTAGGCTCCGCCCATCGTCCGTAACTGCTGGCCGCCGGCCCCGCACCAGGGCAGGGTTTTCCATCTGGATTCCAGACAGAAGACGAGGTCGGAGCAGAGCATGAGGCTGCCACTGGCCGGTGGACGTCCTCTGAGCCACAAGCTGGCTCGAGGTCCCTCTGCACAGAGGACCAGTCCCCCTGTGAGACCCTGAGCTAGGGCTGAATGCCAGTGGCAGATCTGTCTGCAGCGGCTCTGGCTTGGCAGGACTTGGCAGTGATCACCCCACCCCGGCCAGGGCTGCTGCAGAGTGGAGGCAGATGCCACGTTGCCAGGCTTGCCAGCTAGCAGGACTTCAGGCCCCAGGCCAGACTAGAGGCCGGTAGAGTTGGGACTGTGCCCACTTAGGCCACTGCCCCATTCCTAGTGAGGACGTGGTTTCTGGAGCCCACAGTGGAGGGCGGCTGGGCGCCAAGACCCAGCAGCTGCTGACCCCATGAGAGGCTCACCCAAAGCTCCCTGCACCCTGCCTCCCGGGAGCAGCGTCAGGGCAGAGCGTGCCCACAGGGCTGGCTGAGCGCTGGGGTGGGCTGGGCTCCACCGGCTGTCCGTAACTGCTGGCTGCCGGCCCCGCACCAGGGCAGGGTTTTCCATCTGGATTCCAGACAGATGACGAGGTCGGAGCAGAGCACGAGGCTGCCACTGTCCACTGGCCAGGTGGCTTCAACTCAGCCCTGTCACAGGCCAGCCAAGTCCCTGAGGCAGGGGCAGGAGAGGCCAGCTCTCCTGGACAGCCTGCATGCTCCCAGTCCACGGGGCAGGTGCCTAGGCCGGCAGCTCTGTCCTGCTCCTCTGCCTGTGGAGCTCGGGACAGAGGCCGGGGGCCCAAGGCTGAGAGGTTGGAGCAGAGGCAGCCACGGTCTATGCCCTGGGGACCCTGACAGATGTTGCGCCCCCACCTTCCTGCCCGTGGGCTCCAGCTGCAGACCCTGCCAGCTCAGCCTGGCATGCCCCTTCACCTTGGCTAGGAAGGCCACCCTCATCCTGGGCTGTGTTTCTGGCTTCCTGCCCCATGGCCCTCGGCTGGACCCACAGCCAAGCTCCCTCCTCGACCCAGCTTCCATCCTGACTGACAGGTGAGGAGCGGGCCAGGGCCACTGGGCAAGGTGCTGGGTCCTTGCATGGTGTAGGTGCCACTGCCCACTGGGGGGTTGAGCAGGAAGGCCCCACCCTGAGCCAGGGACCTGAGGTGCTGCAGGTGCTGGCACTGTTCTGAGAGGGCCAGCACCTGATCTCGCCCCCACGGGCACTAGGCTGGGTACAGACAGAAAGGGAAGGACAGAGAATGAATGGGGGACAGAGGGGGACAGAGAATGGACGGGGACAGAGGGGGACAGAGGATGGATGGGGGACAGAGGGGGACAGAGGATGGATGGGGGGACAGAGGGGGACAGAGGATGGATGGGGGACAGAGGGGGACAGAGGATGGACGGGGGGCAGAGGGGGACAG